TTCGCATATCATGTTCGGCTGCTGCTGATGATGCTGGTTCGGCCCGCTGCTGCTGCTGAAGTTGGGTTGGCACGCTGCTGCTGCTGAAGAGGTTGGCTGCTTCGTGCGGTCAGCGACGAGGTTCGGCCAGGTGAAGGGGGAGATGGGAGCACGTCGCTCTACCCCGGGGCCAATTTGGCCCTGAGCCAAGTTATTTGGTGGAAGAAATCGGCTGTGTTTATGTCGGCTGCGGTTAGCATCGTTGGCAATTTCTTTTGGTTGATGACTAAAAATTACCTTCCACATTTTGACTGTACACATCGGTTTCATTTGGACACCATGTGTATTTAAAGTAGTTTCCGGTCATTATTTTTAGTTAGGAAGACTTGAATATGTTTATGTTTCATTTGTTTTGCTTTTTGTGTACCGTTCTCTGAAAAACGCTGAGTCACCGGAAGTTAACGGCATTCGTTCTGTTTTCCGCGATGACGCTTTCAGACATTTGAGTAGCCGGCAGTAACTTCCGGCCGGGTGCGATATATATATATATATATATGCTAAGCACTTTCAACACGAGAAATTTCTGATAGGAATTTATGAACTCTTCGAATATTATTGTATATTTTATTTTGACAGATATAATTTTTATCAGTACATGCCATATATATATTTGTATTAATTATCTTTGCATCTTTAAAACGCCATTAATTGGTGTATATTTGGATCTGCCCATTAATGCAGACTTACTCTCTAATCTTTCAGCTTATGGCATCGTTCTGTAACTCAACAATAATCTTGGTAGGAAAGTTTCAATCTTTTCTCACTGAGAAGAAGATGCTTTCAATCCCATCTTTATTGTTTGGACCATTCGTTCAGTAATTCCATTTGACTGAGTGTGGTAAGGAGCTGTTTTATATGAGACATAGCCAATCTTCCTTAATCACCAGTATAGACTTTCGTCACAGAATTCGGAAACAAAATCAGTTACTAATGTTTTGGTACTCCATTTATGTGTAATATTTGTTTTACAGTGATAGATTTTTTTTATTCTGAATTCGGAAAACTTCAGACCAGGCGGAAAAAAGCGTCAACCAGAATTAGACATAAACCTAATCCGTTAATCTTGTATGATCCATATAGGTTCTGTTTCTTTTGACGAAGCGTTTAAATTATTGTGGCAAAAAGTCTTTATTTCGACACATTTAAGACATTAGACGTAATTCTCCACATTTCGGGTGTGTCCTGGTCACCACGCTTCCAATTTTAGTCGTTTTTGTGTAGCGGTTATCTTGCAATACACATCATGTACACTTTTAATTACTTCTTTTTTACATTTTTCCAGTGGTACGACTAAATCCACAAATCAGACAGTTTTCTATTGATAGTTTGTGTCTGTTTTCTTTGTATGGTCTTTCTGCTTTTGAACAATTACTCCATTTATTGTTCATTATTCTAGATAAAATTCAACTTAAGACAGGATCTTGTAACGTCTCTATAACTAGTCTATTCATGGGCAACACATCCGTTTCCACCAAATGCATCCTCAACATTATTATGTTTTTTTTTTCTATTTTTCCTTTTTAAATTGTAGTCGGATGCATCTACGTGTGGTTTCCTGTTTCCCTTCACGTATTCTATACCATAATCAGAAGCCATTAACATCATAGCCAATCTTAATATTCAGGATCATGTAACTTTCGGCAATTCCTTTCTTTGATGGAATATAAATTATAAGGGCTTATGATCAGACCTCAACAATTTTTGTTCCCAATAAGCTTGGTCATGCTCTGGTCATACTCCATACAATCGCAAGTGCTTCCTTTTAAATATTAGTGTAGTTCAATTTACCTGGTGTCTATGTTCTGGAAAGATACATCACTGAGTGTCCTTCCTGAGGCAAAATTGCCGATACAGACTGGCCACTAGCTTCTGTGGTTAATGTAACGTTCTTTTTAGTGCCATAAATCTTGATCACGGTTTTTTTTAGATGGATCTTTTAATTTAATGAAGGCTGTTTGGTGTGTTCTTGTCCATTCAAACCCCTTATTCTTCTTTTGCAACTCAGAAAATGCTTCACTTCTTTCAGAATATTTTGACAAGAATTTGCCATAAAAATTGGCTAATCCAAGAAATAATTCCAATTCCTTTTTATTAGTTGGAGAAAGTACATTTAATATTTTTTTGTATTAACGTCGTGTGCGGCTAAGTACTGTTTTCTGAAATTTGGTAACCCAAGAATGATAATTCTTTTCAATTAAATATACACTTATCTTTGTTTATCGTCATCTCTGCCTTCCTGAGCTTGTAATCTAGAACAAATTTAGTTTTTTTGTTTCAGTTCTTCTTCAGTGGCCACACCTAAACATATATCGTCCTGATAAATTATCATATTTTCTACTTTCCCCCGCTAACAGATTTTCCATAGATTTTTGAAAAATCGAGCTGTCTGTCTGAATTCCAAATGGTAAGCGGGACCATCTAAGTAAGCCTAAGTGGGAGTTTATTATTGTCATTTCCTTAAATTCGTCAACTACTTGAGTTTGTTGGTACACATTTTTTAAATTAATTTTCGTAAAATATTTAATTCCTACCTGTCATATGCCCTACTCGACGAATAATTTATAATGCAATCATACGCCGACCAGGAGATATATACATTATCACGTCTATGGAGAGATACGGGCTATCTCTCCCAGACCATGACAAATGGACAATTAGTAAACAAAAATATTTAAAAGAACACTGTTCGATTGGGATAATCAAACAGTAATCTTTTGCCAGGTTCGCTTCGGTTTCAACACAAATACTGATCCACAATTCGAGGATGAACGATAAGGCGTAATAAGTTTTGGTATAAGAATTTTAATATATACATATACACAAGATATTAAAATAAAAGAAAAATATAAGCATGAGTAAAGTATCCAACGACTAGAACCTCAAGACTTATGTTGAGATACCAAAATATGCCCAAATCCAAATGGATTCGACTGAAACCGAACGGATAAAAAAATAAGTATGAATAACTACGAATTCAGAAATCAACGCATAACCAAAAGAGATGGGATAGGATTTACATATTTCTATTTTGACATGTGGAAAGGTGTTTGTGAGAACATAAAATTTATGGATGCATGTGTATCTTTCTAACACGGGTCCAAAATATATAGTTACTTATCTTTATATTCAGTTCTCTCTCTTACTCATTGCCCTTTCTTTTCTCTCTCGCGTTTCCTCTTTTCTTTCTTTCTTTTTCTTTACACAAATTCAATTTCACACACGGTCCGGCTGAAACAGAAATATACACTTTCTTCCTCTGTCTGATTTTCTCTTTTCTTTCTTTCTTCTTCTTTATACAGTTCAGCTTCAAACACGGTTCGGCTGCAACAGAGACATATACTTTCTTCCTCTCTCTGGTTTTCACTTTTATTTCTTCAAACACAGGCTGTATTCTCAGCGTACAAATTTCCTTGCGTCTTCTGTGATAAATAACTCGATTTATCTTCTTCAATCTGGAGTTGACGAACATAAATATACATCCTTATATTTCTTATCCGGAGTTGCTTATGATGAATCGAACAGGTTCCATCATTACCAAAATGAGTCTCATCTTTCCGCTTCGATTTCGAGTCTTGCTCCTTCAAAGACAAGACAGCAACTGAGTTCCAAGTAATTTTCTAATTCCTACGTGTCCTGCATTTTGGCACGAATTCCAGTTCCTGTTGCTTCATGACCTTACGTCAGTCCCCTGTCTAGATTCTGTCTAGACGTCTGTTGCTACTGGTAACTGGGCCAGTCAACCTCTTGACTTGCTTTCCTAAAATGTCTCGAGACTCCCACGTGACCTCTTCTGTTGTCAAGCTGAGATTAACCTTAATATATGCGTGTATGCGTGTTTGGGCTATCTGCATTCGTCACATTCCTGAGAATGTAGTATGTTTTCTATGTTTGGAATAGGGTAGGAATCCAAACAAATATGATTTACGCTTACTTTGTAATCTCCACAAATTCTAAAATCACTATCAAGTTTTCTTAAAACCACAATAGGCGATTCTCATTTGCTGCCTCCAGGTTCTATAAATTGAAGAATGATTTCTTTCCTCCACCATTTTTCGTAGCTTATCAACTTCCATTGGCTTTATATGAATGAGAAGCCTACGGCTTTCAAAATACGGTGGATTGATATTTCTTTTTAACTCTCTTTATAATTTTTAAACAGTTTCGGGAATTTGTGGTGAAAACGGAATGAAAATAACTCTCTTTTCTTCAGTGTTTTCAAATTCGCGAGCCTGTGTGAAAATTTATTTTGACTAATGGAAAAAGGAGCGGTTTACAAACTGAGAAAAAGTAATGAGCCGATGTTAAATCGCTTTTTGATATAAATAGGCATAAAAATGTTGAATGAAGCCAGAGAGACAGAAACAGAAAAGAGTTCCACGTGTCTGAATAAAGTCGGTGTCAAAATTACACGCTGATACATTATCAGTCTCTAATGAAAGCAAGGCAATTTCAAAGAATTTTATTTAATTCCAAAGCTAAGTACCTTAAAATATATCTTGTCATTCATGTTGAATACAACATTATAACTTTTATGTGAATAACGAACTCTCTCAATTTGTTATAGACATTTTGGAATATTACTTTGTGTTTGATGATTTAATCTGAACATTTTCTCTTCTTGACAATTCATCGAAACTGTTGAGGTGTGTTAATAAGAATGAACCATTTATAGATGTCTATTATTAACATGACCACACGATTTATATTCAGCATAAAATATCACAATATATGAAACAACAAGAAGGAATAAAAATGGTTTTATAACATCAACATTTATTTTTATTTTTTGTGTGGACACGCGTAGATGTTTTTGTATTATATCTCTTTGACTGATTTAAATATTTTTATTTTAGCTCAGAGAAGTTGAATGAATTATAAAGCTGAGAAATGCTGAATAAACTGTAGCTTTAGAAAAGTATTTCAAAGTGAAAAGTTCTTGTTTGGAAATGTTCTGTATGTTTTTAATGTAGTTTGGAAAATTTCGTACGTACGTGCATGCGTGAATATGCTTTTAACATCTGACCCCCATGGTCGAGACGAGAATCCTTATGGTCACATCTTCGCAGGAAAAGGGAGCAGAAGTGAGAGAGAGAGAGAGAGAGAGAGAGAGAGAGAGAGAGAGAGAGAGAGAGAGAGAGATCGTGTCTTCTATTTATAATTATTGTATCCACGTGACAGGATCGAAAGAAATTGGCTGGAAAACTTGACTTGGTCACGCGCTGGAAACGTGGGTGGATTGCAACGCCCACTTGCGTGTTAGCCGACCAATTAGAAGTTGATATTTCCTAAAAATCTGTATGAAGCTGAATAAAATTCAACATTGATAAGAAAGTGGTAGCGGGATGCTAAAATCTACGAATTTTAAATTTTGATTCTTTTTCCTGATTAAGCTACTGGCAATTGTAAATGTGTAAATAATTCCTTATGTTTTTTTTTTCTTTTTTTTGTTAAATATAACACGTGTGTTTCCTCGTCATTTTCCCTCGCATACATCAACTTCCTGTATTCATAGCATTAAGTAAACATGTGCCATTAATATTTATCAAATCAGTTCCGACTGAACCGTAACTTTTTTATACAGTCTACCACCATAGTAGTAACGGTTTTAAATCTAGTTTTTGTTTCTTGAAATGACTAATATTTTTTTATACACGTTCAATCAAACTGTCTTAATCTTACTAAGTTTTTCTTTAATTTTGGTTTCGATTATTGTTCCCAAAAATTCTTCGGAATAATGTTCACTTCGCTTCCAGTGTCAACTGGAATTTTTAAATCTACACCGTTTAATTTAATATTTGTGAAAGTGTTCTTTTTGTTTCTTCTTTCTATTGAAAAAACTAAAAAAAAAACGTTCTTTTTAACTTTTTACATCGTCTTGTATCATTTCAACAGTTTTTACGTTGGCATCTCGCCATCTAAATACAACTTGAAAGTGATTTTTCTTTTTGCATTTATTACATGTCTGTCCCTATTCTGGTAATTCTCTCTCTTTGATTCATGTTTATAGTTGCAATATCTGTATTTTATCATTATTCTTTTTCTCGCACATGTGTCCAGACCCTCATGTTGGTTTTCATTTGTATTAAATTTTTCAATTAAACTCCTCTTGTTATATGAAGTCAATACAAGCTTCTAAAGTCATTTGGTTTGTCTGTAACCGCCCTAAAATTTTTACTCTATGTGAGTCCTTCAACCAATTGGAGTTGAATTAATTCTTCCTTTATGCTTATGTTGTCCTAGTTGATGAAATTCACAATATCTGCTGGTATCTCTTCTTAACCATCTTAACAAGGCTTTCATTTGTCAGTAGCTTAATCAGGAAAAAGAATCAACAAGGCTTTCCAAAATCTGATCTCAATGCTAAGAATTTGATTCGTTTGGCTATGTCTAATCTCTTCTTTGGTTGAATATTTCTCAATATTATTTCTTTGACATTCTTAAACGTCAAGTTTTCAATTTCAGCCGGGTAAGTATTAACGAAATCTGCCTAATGGCTTCGCATTCCGCAGTGGCCAAAAATAGATCCGTGATTTCTTTCTGTTCTTCAGGTGTTTGGTCATCTCTTAAGTTCTTTCTTCTGGCACGTGCCTTTGAAAGCATTTTATCCAAATCTTTACGTTTTCAGGTTCTTCTGTGTTCAACAGAGCTCTGTTAGGCGATGCCATTTTGTTATGATGATCAAACTTAGTAGACGTAGATATTCTACGTACATTGAATCAAAGTTGCCCGTGAGCTATAATTATAGCTCTCTTTATGCTAATTACCTATTAGCTAAACCAATCCCATTACATAAGTAAACCTCTACTTTGGTGACCTCCACATCTCCACACTAACAGATCATCACATTAGTTGTTCGACTGCCACAACACACAAGTGTCAAAACAATGTTGCATTAATATAGATTTTGTTACTTGCATTTTTATAAAAGCAGCAACCGTAAATAATAGATTTACTTTCCTTAATGGATGAATTAACATAATTTTTGACAAAAATTGCAAAGACATTTATCTTTGTGCGTTTTATTAAATGTTCTGTTAACTGATAGTGAAAATTAAACACTTGTAAAACCTATTTCTTCTTTGTGTATTTGAATAGAAAGCAAAGCCAATCCACTCTATGAAGAGAAAGTAAAGATCTGCCTCATAATAAAAATTGGTTTTTAACTCTACTGAAAGAGAGAAGGCAGTTTGGATGATTGAAACAGAAAAGGGGGTTTCGGCTAAACTAGTCAATATGAAACAGTTATGAAAGTTTTTGACTACTCTTCTTCACCTACTTATGTTTCTGCTCAAAATAAACTGTCTAATTATTAGAGAATTTATTTTGAGTAAAAACTTAAGTAGCTGAAGAAGGCTGTTCAAAAATTTTCAAGACCGTGTTTCTGGTAGGAACAGATTTTGTTGCATGCTGGGAGTGTGAAACTTCTGAGATATTCTGGTCTTTACTATTTAGTTTGTCCTTTACTTCCTTTATGAACTCATCATCGGACGCTTTGTCTATTATCTCGTCAATTGTTATAGGAATCTCCCTGACAGTATTGCACAAGGTACTATTTATTTCGACCTCTGTTCCTATGGAAGCAATGACTGTGTCTTCCAGGGATTCAGCATACTTAGCTATCAATCTAGACAACCCGTCTGCATTTAGTCACCGCAAAGATGATTTCTAAGGCATCCTTTTCTATTTGTGAGTAATCCCTTTCAGCTGGTAATAGCGTCCTTGATGCGTGGACAATTGGCTTTACAGATCCATCATTTAACTTGTGTAAAATGCACGCCCCGATGCTGTTGGAGCTAGCATCGCTGACTACAATGGATCGTAATGAGTCAGGAACAGATCTGATGTAAGGACCTCTTTTATTTTCTCAAATGCTTCCTGGCATTTGGTTGTCCAATCCTACTCTTTATCTTTTCTCAATAATTCATTTAGTGGAGTTCTCAAACTGTGCATTCTTGGGACAAAAACGTTGTAATAATTGGCAAGACTTAAAAAACTTTGAAGAGCCGACACATTTTCTGGTGCTGGCATATTCTTTATTGCCGTTGCCCTCTCTGGGCCGGGATGTCTTTGTTAATTATTTGCTCCTAATCCTCTCTAAGAAAAACTCACACCTCCTGTCTTTTAATTTGAATCCGAAATCCTGGATTCTTATGAACACCTGCCAGACGTGCGATTTGTGTTTCTCGATGCTTTCGCTTTTCATTAGGACGTCATCGAAATAGGCCACTGCAAAATCCAGACCATTTAACATCGTGTCAATGAGCTGTTGAAAAATGGAAGAGGCGAACTTAAACCCGAACGGTAGTCTTAAAAATTTGTATAAACCCCTGTTGGTGTTTATACAAAGAGCTTCGAGCATTCCTCGTCCACGGGTATTTGTAGATATGTGTCGCTTGTCAATCTTTGAAAAATATATTCTTCCACTGAGCTTAGCGAATATCTCCTCTAGACTTGGAAAGGGATAATAGTAATATTTTAGGTCGCTGTTCTGCCCCGTAGAGAAGTCAGTACATACACGAATTTCGTTGCTCTTTTTTAAAAATATAAACTGTGGGAGATGCCCATTCGCCATAATCAACCTTTCCCATTTCCTCAAGTCGATTCAACTACTCGTCAATTTAGTCATTTCAAGAAACAAAAACTAGATTTAAAACCGTTACTACTATGGTGGTAGACTGTATAAAAAAGTTACGGTTCAGTCGGAACTGATTTGATAACGAGGCAAATGGAACGTTACGTTTTTTCTTAAAAACTGGGTTTACGTCTGGCTTTAACTCAAACTTAGCAGAAATTTTTGTGCATTTTATTACTCCTCTACTAAAAACGTCAGGAATTTTTTTTAAGTTCACCTTTCGCCTTTTCTGCTTCGTCAGTCAAATTTTCGACTTTTTGACATAATGAGTTAATAGGCATATCCCAAAGTTGAAACCGTTCTAACCAATCAGTCCCGAACAAATTACCCGTATTCTTCATAATATATGTCTTTAGTTTTCAAGTTTTACTTTTGAATGACACGTTCGCCCATAAACTTAAGAGAGTTCGTCGGTTACTCCTTTAACTCTTCGGTTCGTTCTTAACAAATTCGGTTTACCCAGTTTTTCCATGTTTGATAATTAACTATGGATAAGTCTGAACCCGAATCAAGCTGTAACCTTATATTTTTGTTAAATATTTGTCGCAATTAAAACATTTTTTTATCTTTAAAAGGATAATATCTATAGCAATATAATTGACAACACCCGAAACATTGTCTTGACGACAAAGTAACTTTATTATTTTTTGGTTGACCCTTTTTAATTTTTCTTTGGCGTATGTTTTTAATGTGAGCCACGCCACTCTGTTCGATGTTTTTCTAATTCTCTTTGACGTTCACGAAACGTTGGCAATCTCCGGTAATTTGCTGTAAAGTAACGTCAGGATCGTTTTCAAGCTTGTTGAGTATCCTACTACGTATTTCAGCGTCTTTCGCTGAAATCAAACCTTGGACGAAAATCAGGTATTTAAAATTATTGGCACTTAACTCATCGCAGTGTTTATTGACTACACCCACGAAAGTATTATAATCTTCGTCTTTGCGGGTCAGATTCATGCATTTCCAACGCTTGTGGGACAGTGACGTTTTTGGACGGAAGAGTTCTGTTAATGATTGAACCACCTCTTTAAATTTCAAGTCGCTGGTTTTCTTAGGCAAAATATAATTAACAAACTTAGTATATTCTGCTGTGCCTAATTTCCTGAGGAGTAGGTGAACCTTTTTAGGGTCAGCCCAACTTTCACAATCCGTATTGTATAAGTCCTTGTAACGTTTAAATTACGAAACGAATCTAATTTCTTCTTCAGGTGCAAACATGAAGTTTTCACTAGCACTCCATATAGCATTTTGAGGGAACGCGTTTTCGCTGTCCTCATTTTGGCTTTTGATGGATATATTATACAAGTGCCTTTGCTCATTCTGTGTTTGAAGGAGAATTTCTTCAAGTTTCTCTTGTCTAACCTGAATTTCTAGGTGCAATTTCTCAAATTTTTTCTGCTATTCTGCTTGTTCTCGTTGGAATTCCTCTTGCCTTTCTTGATATTTCTGTTCTAACAGTAGTTGTTGTTCCTGTTGTAGAAATCCTAATGTTTTGAGGAGTTTCTTTTTTCACTGTCAGTGTTGTAATTAACACTGGATAACCTTTTGTCGTAAAGTTTGATTAGAATTCCTTTCTTCACCACAGTTGTAGACACTGGCAATTTTTTTATGATTTAACGTGAAGTCCGTTTCTTCGAATCCTTCGTCGCCAAGATGTTGTGAGCAAGTAAATGGTTAAGAAATAACAAAACATGTGTTACAGATATAATATATATTAAACAGTAAGTACAACAGAAGAGTATTACACGACTAGTGTGTGTGTGTCGGTTGACCCAGCGTTCAATCTAATCAATTGTTCCCCCAAGGCATTCTCTCCTACTAATCTTATATGCGGCGGAAGAAACCAACATAGACTCTTTAGAGGGAGGACACAACAACAGAAGCTATTGGAAAGGTTTAAGTAAACTGAAAAACACTAAATTCCGATAGACTGAAGATATACAGATGACCAGACGAAGGAAAATGAAAGAAAGGGATATTTGTCTTTTTATTGAAAAAAAAAATCACTAGCAGAGGTAAAACAAAGAGACCATCTCGTTTTGATTAAGAACTGAGATTAAGTGATGGGATATTCTGGAGATCCAAGGACCTCTCGGAAAGAAATAGATAATATTTTTACGGCCATTGAGCACCGGAGAGAAAGACGGACCCCTGAGCGCGAGATTGATCGATTGATAAGGATTAACTTTTAAAAACAGATCGGTTCCCAACAGAACATATGGGGAGAAGGACAATTAAATTTTTCGTCTGTTGAAATGTGATAAAAATTTCCCAAATCGAAGGACTGTCCTCTTCTTACCAATTGTTGACCACTGGGTTGACGAGGTGATAGAAATGATAAATTCCATTGACGAAAACGACCGCACACAAAAGCACAATGAGAAAGAATTTTGAACGATAATTTAAATTTGAACCACGCCTAGCCCTTGGGGGACCAGTTTGGTCAGGGGACCAAGTAGAATTTCTAGGGAAGGCAGGGGGGCTTTCCAAACCGGCAGTGATGGTGAGAGGCACCCACATAAAGCAAGAAGAAGAAGGCCCAAGTAACATTCCAAGGAGGGAGGTATTTGGACATTTGAATGGAGAGCCCTGATTAGTTGTTTGGGGAGCGCTGGCATACCCAGAGCACATCATGACCAACCCCAGCCCTTGCTCATGAGTCCATAAAAAACAGAACGCCGAGTAGATGCAGAGAGAGAGAGAGAGAGAGAGAGAGAGAGAGAGAGAGAGAGAGAGAGAGAGAGAGAGAGTGAGTGAGTGAGTGAGAGAGAGAGAGAGAGAGAGAGTGTGTGTGTGAAAATGCGGAGACAGCACGGAGAAACTACGTAAGAGGAATTGCAGAGAGAACAGAGTACCATGTGACTTGCTACCTTGAATAAAAACCTCCGACTTAAAGCCTTGTTCCAGAAGTTTCGTTCCAAAATCATAACAACATTGTGTCACGATCATCAGGAAGGGTCGATAGTTATTGCATGGAGAGAATAGTCTGCTTAAGGCATCAATGACTGTAGCATCAACATTGTATCAAGGAAGTGTATATAAATACTTTTTTTTCTTTTATCAAATTTATATTTTTTCTTTTTTTGTGTGACTTTACTTTGACCGGACCAAACCAAGTCATCGATTCCAATCGACCATTCTGACCAAGCCAGTCTTGCGAACGTGGGGCAAGACAGGACTTGGACCAAAGCGATCAACTCTACGATCAGCCGAGGGAATCGATCTTGAATACGGAGCGGGCGAGGTAGATGTCAGCATTTTTATTTAAAATAACAATGTCCCTACAAAAGACTTTTCTGAGAGAACGTTTATGGCATTCAGTGACGTACTGAATGAATCAGAAAAAGTATAGTGAATGGTTACTTTGGAACTCTCACATTTCGATTTACTGATGTTTGTCATAAAACTTCGGTGGCTCCAGGTCCAGAGGAAAGTATTGAGCGGGGGCCTATTGTGTCATAAATGTCATTAGGAGAATAGATGTATTGACTCTTTGTGACTGGTTTCACCGGTCATTTTTCCGTAGAATTTCAACGCTTAACGGATATAGAGAACATGGCTATGGGAGATTTGAACTAGAGTGGTAAGGGTGAACAGATCGCGACGTTTTGTAACGGTGGCTAGTCAGGGATGAAAGAAGTCATGTCAACGAGATTTGAGTAACGAGAAAATACGAGCTGGGAGAGGATTAAAGAGAATTATTTCAAATGCCGTATCCGCATCTGCAAAAAGTTTGTCCAGATCTTCAGCCCAAGCTGATTTGCAATTGGTGTAATCAGACAGGTCTTTGATAGACTGCGACCAGGCATTCTTACATTTATTGCCGGTAGTGAAAACTCTTATAAAGATGTTGGGACAAGAAATCTCACTGATATGACATATGCGTCTACCTTGGTGTGTGCTTAAAAGCGATTAATGTAAAATGAATCAAACGTAGCGGTAAAAAGTATAAAAGAGTTAATAATAGGAGGAATGTCAGTGAAAGTCAATATAATAGTTCCTGAAAAAATGGTTAATGGTACTGATATAGTAATGGTTAAGAATGTAATCAGTTAACCAGGGGAAAGTGTGATGCTTAACGAGAGTGGAGTGAAGTCTTAGGGGAAGGGGAAGGGAGTTATAATGTACTCATGTACAATTATACAACTGAAGAAAGTCACTGGCAAAAATGTTGAAACAAAAGAGAATGTTTCATACGGGATTGTTGATAGATTTGTGTACAGAGTTAACTCCGACAATACTCTTCACATCTCAGACTGAAAGTTACAGGAACGAAAACTTTTAATATGTAAAAGTTATAAACTGAATAGAGAAGGTGTCCAAAATGGTTAACGCATGTTGAAGGTGAAGACGTGATTTCTGAAATGTCATCAGATGAAAAAGTCGTGGGACAAAAAGAGTTCCTTTTTCTAATAATTTTTTTTTCACAACTTCCTTTTATTGTACATTTATCTGTGTTAATTTTAAATCTCCCGTTGAAGCCTGAAGAGCGGGAGCGAAACCGGTTGCTTCGCCCGTTTTTTCTTTCTTTCTTTTTTTTTTTTTTAAATATGTCTCGTAATATTATTATTACTTTTATTTCGATATATATATATATATATATATATATATATATATATATATATATATATATATATATATATTCGGTCGAGCCCTGTGGTGGAAAAAAGCGCATATTTATAAACAGTGACTATTACTGCTAATAATGCAAGACTCTCCCAAAGGATTGAGACGTGTAGATCACTGGCGTATTTATGAAAAATAAATACGCAAAAATTCGCCTTTCTCACTGCCTTTCTCTCTGCCGAGTGTCGATAGCCTAGAGGTTAGAATCTCCGAGTGATAGCAAATCGGCTTGAAGCGATTGGATGTCTAGCAGTTTATCTAGGATCTGTAATACAGCGAAACAGTCTGTCTGTGGATGACGATGCTAGCTCCCGAAATAAATTAATTCGGTCGAGCCCTATGGGGAAAAAGCGCGTATTCATAAACAGTGACTATTATTGCAAATAATGCAGAATTCTCCCAAAAGATTGTGTCTTCTAGGTCAGTGTTTATGAAAAAATAAAAACGCAAAAATTCACTTTTCTCTCTGCCGACCGGGTTAGAATATCTGACTTATACCAAATCGGTCGGGTTTCGGTCCCGGCTTGAAGCGATCGGATGTCTAGCCAGACTGAGGAGCTGTGATACAGCGAAACAGTCTCTCTGTGAGTGACTATATATATAGATATATTTTCCTCACCGGTATCACAACTCTGGGCTTCATGCACAATCCAATCGTCAGGTGCTGCCAACCTGACTTGCATTAAACTCTGAGTTGTGCTACCGGCGAGGAAAAAAAATGTAAAATGTATATTTATTATTAATACGAATTATAGCTCTTATTTTAGATCGAGCATTATTTTATTAACACCAGCAGTCTATGTGCGGAAATCGCCAACTAACTTTCCTAGCAGTAGACCGAGCAATCGATTCAATATACATCTTGTATTTTTCGTAAGAACATCGGCTCCAGAATTATATTATTTCTTTCTTCCTAATTGACCCCAAAAAGCCACGTGCTATGTCTTCTACTGGATGTCCGCGCAATATTTTTGGCAGTATCTCCGTAAATCATGATGAAATATTTTATTAAATATTTTAGTGGACATGACATAGCCAACACTTGATACACTCAGATGTTTTCTCTATATATTTGCAGTTGCTAATTCAATATTTCGGCCGATCTGTTCTTCAGGTATAAACTGCTGAAAGAGCAAAGCATCTATTCTCAAAAGAAAGACTGCAGTAACAGAAAAATAAAAAAGACCACTATTTAAAAAATAAAATAAAAAATAAATAGATGGCAAACCATTTTGGTTTGACATAAAGAAATAAAAACAAGAAGAAATAAAGAAATAAGTAAAAGAGGTCAAAAGGTCATCATTCCTAAATGTAGATGAAGAAAAGGGATTGTCAAATGAGTCATTTCTGGAACCAATCAAAATTAAGAACAATTCGGGAATTAATTCTATTGTCATTAAAAGAAAGTTCTAATAGAGATAGTGACGAGGAGGCAAACAGACTGGACCAACCGCTGAAAAGAATTTCATCTGCAGAGAGAGAGAGACGAAAGAATAACTGCTATCAAGAAATACCTTACAAATTAACAAAGACGCATCTCTCTCTCTCTCTCTCTCTCTCTCTATATATATATATATATATATATATATATATATATATATATATATATATATGTATAATAAAGCAGAATCCCTAGAAATCCATAGTTAATACTTTATTTCATGGGATCAGGCCCCATCTCTTCAGACCAAGAAATTTTATAACAATAAATGGATTTGAAATTTATCCAGGCACAAGCAAAAAAATAAAAAAAATATAAAAAGACCAATATTAATATTAGATAATTTACAGAAAGATGGGTTAGACCATATTGTCTTTCTTTTTCTGTTTCTGGATTTATTAGTTGGATCGTTTTTCAAAGCTTCTTAGTAACATAATTTTTGTTTGAAATTACTTTTTTTATAAGGGCTTCATTATAAGTGAATAAGTTATATAAGTTTTTCAACTCCTACAACACACGAGTGTCAAAACAATGTTGCATTAATATAGATTTTGTTACTTGCATTTTTATAAAAGCAGCAACCGTAAATAATAGATTTACTTTCCTTAATGGATGAATTAACATAATTTTTGACAAAAATTACAAAGACATTTATCTTTGTGCGTTTTATTAAATGTTCTGTTAACTGATAGTGAAAATTAAACACTTGTAAAACCTATTTCTTCTTTGTGTATTTGAATAGAAAGCAAAGCCAATCCACTCTATGAAGAGAAAGTAAAGATCTGCCTCATAATAAAAAATGTGACTGTGAACATATTTATAAACACACACACACACACACACACACACACACACATATATATATATATATATATGTGTGTGTGTATCTGTGTGTTCAATTTAACAGATACAACATTTCTTTGCAATGAGTATATATATATATATATATATATATATATATATATATATATATATATAGTATGTATATATTTTTTGCGAAAAAAAGAGGATATATTTTGCTTTTGAAACCAAATTAATCGTTCACACGCCAGTAATTTACAATCGCCTGAGTAGACGCATTGGTATGCATTGATACACGACAGCAATTGTGTAGCGATTTTTACACGTCGTTTTAATATCCTAAAATAAATAATACTACACTACTCTATATTGAGCCCGCTTTGAAATTAAATGGATGAACATTGGAATTTTACACAATTTGTTCTATCTTACCTGAATATATATATATATATATATATATATATATATATATATATATATATAAGGTACAAAATGATTATTTATTATTAATATAAATTTCAGCTCTGTTATTATACGCCGATCACTGTTTTATTACGACCAGGGTTCTATAAGTGCTACTTTATTCAGGGTGTCCCCACAAAATGTACTTATTTTGGGGCTTCGTCGTCAGTTTGAATATCTATAAACATGCATTTAAGTCCACTATTTACATTATTCGGACTATTGTCCTCATCTTTGTTACCATATTTATCACAACGTTTCGACCCTTGTACGCTCCAGCCTTCTTCAGCTGGTTGGAATATCGAACTGAACCCTTTATTTCGCTCGCTGGGGCAGACTGTTCTAGTTTCATGTGCCATGCCTAATTGATGTCAGTTATCAGTTATCGGCCGAAACGTTGTGATAAATATGGCAACAAAGATGAGAACAATAGTCCGAATGATCTAAATAGTGTACATAATATCTCGTCTCAACTATAGACAGCATTTAAATATTTAATTTAAAAATCGTTAATCTTCTTTGTAAGTCAATAAATATGAATATTTCTTCATTGTAATCATTAATCCTGTTTGCAAGTCAATCAGCACTGCATTTATTGTCATTTAAAGAGCGAGAACAATTTTGGAGAACATACATAGCTACATACATACATACATACATACATACATACACACACACACACACACACACACACACACACACACACATATATATATATATATATATATATATATATAGACAGATAGATAGATAGATAGATAGATAGATAGATAGATAGATAGATAAGGGTATCTTGAAGTCAACACCCAGAGGCAACAGTTCATGTTAAACGTAATTGGTAGTATATTATGTGTATATATATTATTAATAATAATATATATATATAATATATATTTTTTCCTCGCCATTATCACAACTCTAGGCTTCATGCACAATGCAATCGTCAGGTGCTGCCAAACTGACGTGCATTAAACTCTGAGTTGTGCTCCCGGCGAGGAAAAAATAGAAAATGTATATTTATTATTAATACGAATTATAGCTCTTATTTTACACACACACACACACACACACACACACACACACACACACACACACACACACACATATATATATATATATATATATATATATATAAAGAAACAATTTATACAAATAATTAAATAACAATGTTAATGTGCTTAATGGCGAAATCATTTCGCTAACAAGACTTAAATAGACATTAACTAATTTACTATCAAATTCCTTGAATAATAAGATCCTTATATTCGAGTTCAATTGGAGTTGAATTAATTCTTCCTTTATGCTTATGTTGTCCTAGTTGATGAAATTCACAATATCTGCTGGTATCTCTTCTTAACCGTCTTAACAAGGCTTTCAGTTGTCAGTAGCTTAATCAGGAAAAAGAATCAACAAGGCTTTCCAAAATCTGATCTCAATGCTAAGAATTTGATTCATTTGGCTATGTCCAATCTCTTCTTTGGTTGAATATTTCTCAATATTATTTCTTTGACTTTCTTAAATGTCAAGTTTTCAATTTCAGCCGGGTAAGTCATTAACAAAATCTGCCTAATGGCTTCGCATTCCGCAGTGGCCAAAAAGAGGTTCTTCAGGTGTTTGGTCATCTCTTAAGTTCTTTCTTCTGGCACGTGCCTTTGAAAGCATTTTATCCAAATCTTTACGTTTTCAGGTTCTTCTGTGTTCAACAGAGCTCTGTTAGGCGATGCCATTTTGTTATGATGATCAAACTTAGTAGACGTAGATATTCTACGTACATTGAATCAAAGTTGTCCGTGAGCTATAATTATAGCTCTCTTTATGCTAATTACCTATTAGCTAAACCAATCCCATTACATAAGTAAACCTTTACTTTGGTGACCGGAAGTTGGAAGACACATGGCGATTACTTTCAACAATTTCAAATTGTCATGTTCAGGGCGCAGTTTTAATTTCATGCATAGGTAAACACTAAGACGAAATATGTGAAAACCGAATGATTTTTCAAATATACGCTTTGGAGCGTACGATGTTGTGACGCTAGAGTTCTTGTTCAATTCGATCAAGTGATAATTTAATTTGAATTTTGAAAAGTTTTTTGAAATTTTTTTTTTAATTATATGTGCTTATCAGTTAAAGTGAAATGGACGTAAGCATGATCCAATTAATAGAGTAAAAATGTCTTGGTAGTTTTCCACAGAATTTAAGATTCTAACTTTTACTGTGCCGCGGATCTGATGCCATAAATATATTAGCGTGTGTATCTTATATTTTATGTCATAAAGAAATAATTTATACAAAGAATTAAATATCAATGTTAATATGATTAATGGCGAAATCACTTCGCTAACAAGACTTAAGGAGACATTAACTTACTATCAATTCCTATCAATTACCATTACTAACATGTCCGCAAATCCTTTGTTTTTGAGTTATTAGGTTTAAAGAAAATTTGTGATAGAAGGCGCTGTGTTGGCATGTAGACTAGGTTACATTTGTCATTCCTGTACATTTGTGGCTAGTTTTTATTCAACGTTTAACGTATGTTGTAGTGACTTAACTGAGAAGTTTTCCGTTTAACAATGGCAGGATGTTCGTATCGTGAGTAGGCAGATATGTTTTTTTTTTTTTTCATACGGCCGCGCAAATGGTAATGGACGCGAGGCTGCACGGCTGTATCAGATTGCGTTTCCACACCGAAGGCAGCCGAGTCATCCAGTCTGTGTTGCTGTTTATTGTTGCGTTGCTGAGACAAGATCCGTGGCACCACAAACTATGGATCATATTCCTGACCAGGAAGAACACATTCTACAGACTGTTGGAGACGATCCCGGTATCAGCACGCACCAAGTAGCCTTCACATGTCGTACATCTTATAGTAACGCATGGAGGGTATTTCAAGAGTAGCTCCTGTGTCTGTATCATTTGCAACGTGAGCAAGGTCTTTCACTCCCTGGTCACTCACCACGGGAGAGCTTTTGCCGATGGTTTATTTCACAAAGTACCAATTCATTGTTTGTCTTTTCAGTCTTTTTTACAGATGAGGCAACATTTGTGGTCGGATCGGAATCCCCATAGAATCTTCAGAACGCAGTAGCTGTCTACATGGACTTTATTTCGAACACATTTCCAGATCTGCTAGAGGATGTACCCCTGCTAATACGAAGACGCATGTGGTTCATGCATTATTGGGTTCCGGCACATTTTAGCCACATTGTTCACACTGGCTGAAATCTACAGTGAAAGATGGAAAGATAAGGGAAGGACCGGTTCCATGGCCCACACGTTCCACCGACCTCAATCGTTTGGTTTTTTATTTGTGAGACCACCTAAAACAATTGGTTTCTGCAGCAGACATTAATAATGCAAAGACGCTTCATCAACGTGCCATGATAGTGGGGACTGTGAAATTATTCGACACCGTACGGGACTATTCGAAAGGGTCCGCCAGTCAGTGGTCCGACGGATGCACGCGTTTGTAGAAGCAATCAGAGGATATTTTGAATATTTGTTATGAGTTGCTGTGTTGAGGTACAACGACGACCTTTTGAGTATATCTTTATATGGACATTTTACCTTGTTTTGGTGTCAGGAATCCGTCCCGAAAATTTGTAAAAGTATTTTTAGATTGTATCTTAGATTGTACATTTAACAATGTCTACCATAAACTTTATACTTAATAACTCAAAAACGAAGGATTTGTGGACATATGTTTATATGGACTCTTGTCTTTGTTTTAGTGTGAGGAACCCACTCCTAAAGCTTGTAAAAGTATTTTTTGCTACACTTTGTACACACACACACACACACACACACACACACACACACACACACATATATATATATATATATATATATATATATATATATATATGTATGTATGTATATGTATATATATATATATACGTGTGGGGGGGTACTTATCGAAAATTCAAATATTTTGAAATGTTTTCAACAGTGGTTTTCATCTTTTTATATTCATGGCTTCCTTTTAAGAGATGATTGTTTATAGTCCTTCACCCTCGCTGTTTACTTTAACAAAAACTCATTTTACAATTTCTGGGACAAATAAACAGCGATATTTCTCCATACCAATTTCAAAACTGATTGCTTTAAAAACCAAAATGGTTAAAATGAAATAAACTTTTATTTTGGCAAAAAAAGTTCTGGATATAAATATGCACGCAAATTTAATAAGTTTAGCAAAATAAAAACTTCTTCACATAGATCTTACATATATGCACACATAATTTCTTGAAAATTATTTTATTACATAATTTAAGTTTATTAAAACTAAAATATAAAGGGTAACAGGGTTGTAGCACTGTGGCCCCTTTCATTGAACTTGTAACCCTCCATATCCCAAAGTCTTTATGTGGCCCCCATTAAATTTACCAGGAGTTTCTTGTTGCCATGCGGCCCCTGTTAAGAACCACTGGTTTACATGAACCTTATGCAGTAGTACAAGCTTTTGCCACTACCCTGTAGCGGACCCCCCGAGCGCCCCCGTATCACAAAAGGTGATGAGGTCACAAGAGGCCCGCTAACATTTTGAAGACGTTAAATCTGACAAGGTGAAACAACATAGACGACAGAACGAGGATATATACTAATTTATTCTATAAAAAAAATAAAGGTGGTCGGAAAGGTAGAGATGCTGACGTTCGGGTGCAGGCATTGATGGTCGAGGTTGGTCGTTGCAGATGATCGCTGCTGGTCGTTGCAGGTGGTCGCTACCGATGATCCCTGCTGGTCGTCGTAGTTGAGGTCGATGTACCTGGCCGGAGCAGAGGCCAGGAGCCTGCGTACCGACCGTTTCAGTCGCCGACCCCTGAAGTCACTGTATTGTGGTAAGTGAGAGTAGCAACAGAATTGGTAGGCTAATACTATAAAATCTATCTAAAAAAATGAGTCTAGATTAGCTAAAAGGATATCAAGGTCTAAAAATGATCAGAAGTATATTATGATTGGGTTCGTAATACAACTGAACTGAAAAGCTAATTTGCTAGTCTTTACCACGTAATTAACAGCGTGTAGGGAGCGCAACCGAAAGGTCAAGGTGCAAATGACCTGTTCTCTTCCGGTTTAAGGAGCGGCCAAAGGCGGCCGCGATAACCCTTTTGAAATTATTGTATGTATACATGCTCAAATGTATTACATTAAAAGAGATATGATGGAATCTAGCTATTTGAATAAAGCCCTTTTTATGGTCAAATTCTCTAATCTTGTTGGGTGGCACCGCTTATGTCTAGGAAGATAAGATTTCATGAGATTGATGTTCGATTTTTATCCCGTGATACTTGACTGTTCTCAGAAACGAACTTGGTTGGCATCGATAGAGTTCCAGACTTGTCTGCATCTATTAGAAGGACAACTAACAACGTGTAGCGGATAAGTTCTTCTTCTGTAGTGGGTACAGCTCCTAGTTAGGCTAAAAGCAGTGGATATTTTGCACATGTAAATGATGGGTGTAAGTAAATAGAAGTCAATTTCAAGGCGATATTTTTTTTATTTTGAGTTTTTTTGTTTTTTTTATATATCTGAGTAACAAGTGAGACACTAGGGTGCATACTAAAGAAAGAAGACATTACAAGTTAACAATTATGTGGGGCATAAACGTGTATTTTTTCACCTCAAGCAAGGTAGTTAATGAATGCATTTTTATGTAAATAAATATTAAGGAAAAGAAATTGTCTGCTTTACTCCTCTGAATTGTGATAATAATCGTCTATCAATAAACTACCGCAGTCAACAACACAAGTCGAAGAATATCAACAATCTATCTATCTATCTATCTATCTATCTATCAAGTTCTGTGATTTTTGTCCGTCCGTCACAACCTCTAAAATAGCCATACATTGACCTCTTGAAGCCAAATTTTGGGGAGATGTGCAAACAGGTAAGGGGGTACAGTATTTACATTAGTCGGACTATTGTCCTCATCTTTGTCGCCATATTTGTCACAACGTTTCGGCCGTTGTACGCTCCGGCCTTCTTCAGGTGGTTGGAATTTCGAACTGAACCCTTTATTTCGATCACTGGGGTAGACTGTTCTAATTCCACGTGCCATGTTTTGATGGATGTCAGTTATCAGCTGCGGAAAGGAATATAAAGGAGAGACAGGCCGCCCCCTCAAGGTAAGGCTTCAAGAACACCAGAAAGCTGTAACGCGAGGGGAAGTAGAAAAATCAGGCGTGGCTGACGACATATGGAGAGAGAAGGGAGATCACCGCCCCCTGTGGGATCATGTTCAGATCATAGACAGGGAACACCATTGGAAAATTCGTAAACTTAAGGAATCAGCATATGCTAGGCCACAAAAATCTCCTGAGCCGACCAAGCATAGAAATAAATACAATATGGGAACCAGTAATAAGGAGTGCCAGAGAAAAGCAATGATAACAAAGTTGCAATATGAACTCTGGTAAAGACATGCAATGATAACAGCAAAAATTGCAATATGAGCACTGGTAAAAATGATGCTGAAAACATTAGGTTTATAATACTCAGAAGTTCATACCCAGATGTCCTCAAGGACACATGGCACAGTGGATAAAGGCGTTGGTTAGATCCAGTGACAGACCCAAAGAAGGTGAGTTCAATTCCTGGTTAAGAACTTTCAGAGGGAAAATTAGCAGGAGATAACTGATAACTGACATCCATCAAAACATGGAACGTGGAATTAGAACAGTCGAAATAAAGGGTTCAGTTCGAAATTCCAACCACCTGAAGA